ACGATTTTATTATATGTACATACTTATAGATAGATATAAGATATTGTTATAATTTCATCTTGAGCAAGACGGCATGAAGATGGCTAATAATTAGGTCCACGTTTGATCCTTATACTATTACTTATTTGTTAGACAACCGATTGATATAAAGGTTTAATTGCTACTTAAAATAATCTTTTAAAATGTAAGAATTATTGCCTTATCTAAACTGCAGGTTGGTGAACTTAGCTGATCATTGTCCAGCAGATCAAAAATAAATAAGAGTTCTTATCGCATGCACCTGAGTTCTTTAAATCCTGATACCTTTTAAAATTAAATTTCGGCGTTTTGACCTTATAAAAAGACAATTGAAAAGATAATCTGCCAACAACCGGCCGCAGATCAATTTATAGCAGATCATAGGGTTCGTACACAAAACTGCCGATGCGATGCGATGCGAATTCGCAACGCAGAAAAATACGACATGAATTGAAGCGATGCGATGCGATTTCGTGCGACAAGGCGTCTCCCAGGGTGACCATTACTAAACGTATTTTAAATTGAGAACTAGGTCGTGACATGAATCGTAAAAAGAAATGTGCACTTTTATTATTTCTTAGGAGATACAGGAAAAAGTAACAAATAAGAATTTGGGAAGGGCGATGCGAATCAATTCGAAAGTTCTTGCAATACGTAGAGGGAGCTCGCACATTTTTGCGATGCAACGTCGCATCGCAGTTTTGTGTACGAGCCTATAAATGAACGTTAGTTTTTGTCCCATATGAATTAGTTCTACAGTTCCTTGTGTGATTAGGTAGCGTATACACTGTATAGCGTAGATCGTATAACTATTTTCTTTTTCAATTTACAAGCTACTAATCAACCTCTATTAAATTTCAGCACAACGATGTACAGATTTCATGTGCTAGGAACAGCCGATTATTACAACGGCTTTTTGGTCTCAATTCAGCATATCAGCGTCACTAACATGAGGCAAACAGTAGGAACAAACACCGTTAATGGGGTCCCTACACCAACGGCTACAGTCCACGGGAATTTGAACCTTATGGATGCAAAACTTGGATATGATGTGCTTTACACGCCTACTGAAGGGGAACCGCATCATTTTACTGGCGACTTCAACCATGGTAACATCAGATGGCTTATCTCCGTAAGTTGGAATTAATCTTTATTCTTTACTAGCTGATCCGGCAAACTTCGTCGCGCCTAATTTCTTTTTCCTCACCTTTTAATCCTTCCCTAGACTTCCTAGACGATTTTAGACTAGACTAGACGAACATTCCAAGACCAAAATTTAGCGACATCGGTTCGGCAGTTCTCTAGGTTTAGATGTGGTATCACCACGACCCCACAGTACGTGGACGGTGTGATAACTCCGTTCCGGTTGAGACAGCCTATTCTTGGCATTTTTTTTCACCTTTAGAGCGCCTGCTCTACACTTTGTCAGCTTAGGCGTTCGATAAACGTATACACCGCGGTGACTACGCTTCGCAGGCGTCGCGTTGAAGGCGGTTTTAATTAAGGTGATTGCATTGTACACTTTTACACCCAGAGTTGGTAGAACTGCACTGCGTAGAAATCGATGCAATCGTTGCCCAATAGCCAATCGACCAGCAATTGCGTCAATCAAGCTATTTCGCTTTTTTTTTTCATAAAATAAAGATTTGTCCCACCTTGGGTGAGGCGAGGGAGAGTGTCAGACTCTTATATACTAAAAACAACCCCGTTCCTGTTTTTATTTTTTTTTTTTTTTTTTTTTTTTTTTATTTATTTCTTTATTTCAGGCAACTGTGGCCCATATAAAATATAATACACAAATAAAAATACAATACAAAACTAAAAAATAACAAATACCAAAAAATTTAAACATCAATAAACTAATAGATATACAATAACAAAACTAATTATAGAGGTAATTATTGCATACGAAGAGACGGCGTCGTGTTTCGCTGACTGGTATCACGTAGCCGGCCACGGAAACGCCGATACACGATACCCTTCGGCCAAAACTGTTCCTTGAGAAAGGTTTCAAGATCATGTGTTGGAACCCGCACCACGAACGATTTGAAGTTAGTATTGTGGCGCGACTCCAACTTCTCGACTCTCAAGGTCCAGTTCGTCTTCACTCGCAAATACTCCACGACATCCTCTGCCTTCGTGGAGTGATGCAGTCGGGACACGTACAGCAGCGTCGTGGGTGTCGCTGGACGCAGAAGCATGTTGGGTCCTGCCAGCGCGGTACCGCACTGGTTGCGGCAAGGAGGCTTCTTCTTCCTTTCTACCTTAATGAAGCCCTCACTGTCATGCTTGTCCTTTTTCAGACTAGGCTGGTTTGCTTGACCCCGTTTTATATTGGCCGCTTGCTTTTTCTGCGACGATTCAGTTTGGATAGCGGCAACGATATCTGCATAGGCACGTTTAGGGGACAACGTACCTACACAAGCCTGTACTTGCACCGGTGTCGAAGCGCAGGCGGCGGTGGCGCGTGATGCTACGTTTGCAGTTTTAATGGGTGACGCAATCGCCACTGACGAACTGCTGATCGCAGCGTTTTCCGTTCCATGTCGTGTGTTCATGTTGGAGGCGTCAGGTGACCCAGTTACCGAAACAGCGCTGCGTAACAGCATTACCTCGGCACGTAAGTCACATATGTTGTTATTTGATACCTCCAATTTTGACTGCAGCTCGGCCAGGTTAACTTTGAGGGATGTAATGTCCTTAAGAAGCCTGGTTACGTCGACGTGGTCAAACGTGATGGGCGGCAGTTTATGCAGGTCCTTCACCACGAAATCGGGCACGTCATCCGGGTCAGTATCCTTCATCAGGGTGATTATATCCTGGATACTCTTCTCGGTACCATCTCTCCGGCGAGACGGCATCTGGTCGATTTTGCCGAGCGTCTGGAACAGCAGCAACTTAGCACTGCATATCTCTGCTTCCTTGAAGGCAGACTTGCAGATCTGCAAGATGCTGACCTCGTCCATATAATCAATGGCATGCTTCAAGAATGCCAATAACTCGTTTGCTATGAGAGGTTTAGAACTCATTGCTACGTACACGGGCAGCGGCTATAGCCGCGCAATTCGCGAATATAATATTCGTTGCGAGCAGCGTACACACGTCCGTACTCGACCGTGCATCGCGCTATTTTCGCGTTTTAAGTCGAAGCTCCAGTAACCCGGTAGGTTCTCCTTAACTTGGAATTTATTTTGATCTATGTTTCAGATTTTTAAAAACTTGAACACTAAGGAAGTTACCCTTTCCTTGACATCGGAAACATCTGGAGGTCTCGTTTATATGTCGTACAGACCAGACACTAGTATATCCCAAGTTCTTTCGAGACATGTAAGTATGATACATTATTAGTCGATTATATTATATTGTCAAAATAAACCTGTGAACCTCTGGTGTTGCGGGTGTTCATGGGCCGTGGGTGGCGCTGATCGCTTACCACCAGGTGATTCGTCTGGTCGTTTGCCTCCTATTCTACAAAAAAAACAGGTTCTATAAATTGTCTTTAAGTTTACGTGCTGTAACTATAATTATCAATGGGCGATTTTTCGGATAAATACTCAAAATTAATATAATACAGAATAGGTAAATTTCTTTTTAAAAATACGGCCTCATTTGCACGGAAGGTTTTCACATCGCGTCACCCCTTTCAAAATTAAAAGGCCTTGTTTAAATAGGTTCCTATTGGTAGTTTAACAAGAAGGCACCTGAAATGTCAAATTATTTTTATTTTTTATCTGTTTCAGTTCTTTCCCTACAACAACGCAGATGGTGTTAGGACATGGGCGCATACTCTGTCACCAATCATGTTAGATGTTATTGCAAATAAAGTTCCGTTCCCAGAAGTGTGCTACAGCCATTGTTAAAATAACATTGCAAGGAAAAGAGAACTGAAATTGTTAACACATCAAAAGTTTAATTAAATAATGTATTAATATTGTTTTATTATTACCTATGTCTGATTGTAAAGTACACATCCATTTAACGGACTTTTTTTTGAGGGTACAAATTAAATCAACCAATAAGTTCTCTCGCTCAGGTGAGGCGAGAGGAAGTGTCAGAATTATAATGATTAAAAACCACCCCGTTCCTACTCCTGCACTTCCAAGCCAGAGCCCCGGCTACCCGTTAATTCCTTCGCGGCTTGGGCCTTTGTACCCCATCTAATGGTGGTCTGATAAATCTTTGAGGCACGCGCAAAATGCGGCGCGCCGTATGCTCGAGTCTGGTTCTGGGGGCTTACTCTTAAATCCAATTCCGATCGATCGACATTGGTATTGTGAAATTTTATACTATTGAGTATAGATCGTCTCGCGATCCCCGACATCGCCCAGAGTGTCTTTCACGACGGCGGGTGCGTGCGCAATCCATTTGACAGACTTAGGTTCGATTCTTAACTCGGAACAATAACTAAAGATTCTTAACAAGGTCAAACCCAATACCTACCGATATTCAGTTACAAATCACAAGCAGTTATAAATATACATTATTCAGTTATAAATCTTGTTATAAAGAGATCTTTATCAACAGACAAAGATAATTATTAAGTTTAATTTAACTTTAACTGTCAACTAAGGACGTTAAAACCACGTCCTTGCTGCCAACAATAAATTTGAGTTTTGCCATATCAAGAGCATATCATATCATTTTGTTATTAAATAATTACTTTTAATAAGTAAATGTAAGTGTAAGCACGAATTATTAAGTTATTTATTAAAGTATAATGTATTTTAGTTATTTTAATTTTAATATTTTTTGTCTATAAGTGAAACGAAACGTTTTCATTTTTGAACGAACTGTCAATGTCATTTATCGACAGCAGTAATGTCAATGTCGTACATAATTTGTTTTGTTAGCGGTTTGTTTCCCGTTCCAAACTATTGCGGATATTTTTGCTGCTAAAGCACTGTATTTTACACGTTTTTGTGTTATCGGCCAGTGAGTGCTACACACATTTTCCATTATCATGTACATTTTGTGACGACAAAATGAGTGACGAAACCAACGAGGAACGACAGGACAACGAATTCGAAGCTTTACAGGTTATTATTTTATTATTATATGTAAATAAAACATTAAACGATGATGCAAACAGTTAAAAGTTTACAAAAGCCACTTTCAACTTTATTTTTAATAAAAAATATTTACTGGTTTGGTTCCATAAAGTTTACGTGTTCGTTTATTTTTTTTTTTCGTGGCGGGAATAAAAATTTAGGCCAGGGAAACTATTTTTATACCTGCGGACTGTTTGTAATTTTTTTCTATAATAGCCTATTGTCTATTACGTACACTACTACACATTTTTAATGCTTGTAAAATAACAACAGTTTTAATGTTTTGCAGGCAATTCATATAATATGAAATTTTGTTTAATAAATATGTAAGTATAAAAATTAAATACTCATGTCTTATACTTTTATTTCTTACGTTCATACCTTTTAACGCCTACCCTACAAATATAATACTGAGACATACATAATAAAATTTACAATTTAAATAAAAAAATGGTGAAATAACTGTTTGCTTGGATTAAAATCCTTGTCTAAGCCCCAATTATCATTGGCAAATATACTTAGTACAATTAAAATAATGAATTCATCCATCTAAATAACTGTTTCAAGATTACTTACCTACATACACACTTAAAAAAAGAATGTAGGTACTTACTTAGATTATTTTTTTTCCAATTGGAGGTAACATAACGTCACGCCTTTTTATCCTCGAAGGGGTAGGCAGAGGTGCCCATTACGGCACTTAATGCCACTGTACAATGTAACACCCACTTTTCACTATTTATGTTATGAGTCCCATGTAATACCTAGGGGGTGAGCCTATTGCCATATACCGGGCACAATTTATTTTCCAATTGGAGGTATTAATGTAATATGTATCTGTTATACTTGGATTACTATTTTAAGGCTAGTTTCACAACGCCTGAAGATTTTGTTCAATAGACACATTAAAAAAAAAGAAATGAAAGTGCAAATTAATAGATTTTTCTTCTCGTATTAATATCTTCTGCTTGGTCACGGGAAAAGGCAGTTATTTATGTCCCTGGGGCGCATCGGACTTCAGTGTTCCGGTGTTTTCATGGTTGTATCTACTGTAGATCCTGGCTTACAGGAGTTGCAGCGGTTTTTGGAGGTAGTGGTGGGGTTGTTCCAAAAAAAGAAATACACATTTTAAAAAATGCCTCGTTGGCCGAGTGGTTGCAAGTGCCACTGCCTGGCAAGGGCTTTCGGGTTTGATTCCCAGGTCGGGCAAAGTATTGCTTGGTTTTTAAAAAATTGTCAGTGGTAGCATGGAGTCTGGAATTGTGCCCGGTATATGGCAATAGGTTCACTCCCTATTATATGGGACTCAACATAAAAAAGTGAAAAGTGGGCGTTACATTGTACAGTGGCATTAAGTGCCATAATTAGCACCTCTGCCTAAGGCGATGTTATATTACATTATAAAATATAATGAATATAAAACAATAAAATATTTTTTGTCACTTTCACAGGCTATTTACGGTGATGCGGTTGTGGACAACCGTGAAGCAGTAGCTTGGAAGATATGGAGACCTATAGATCTGATGCTTACATTGAATCCCTTACACAATTCAGACATCAAAGGCATACACTGCTCGGTTACGTTACACTTGAAATGTTGTCCGAAATACCCTGATAAGTATGTATTGGTTTTCCTTAATTTAAAATATTATGTATATATATTTTTTTATAATAACTATCGGAGACATACTAAATTAAATAAAATCGCGGGTTACTCACGTGAATATACTGAGCTCACAGTGAGCTGCGCGACATCGTCGCGACCGCGAACGCTGCTCATGAGGATGAACCCCTCTGTGGTTCGAAACTAGTAGAGCTTTTCTCAGTATATTCACGTGAGTAACCAGCGATTTTAGTTAATATATATTTTTTTTTATTAAAATATGAGTAATGGGGTCTCAGGTCTATACACATATTATCTAATTAACAGCTTATAGTTTAATATCTCGATTGTGACATATATTTTCCTTCCTCATTAATTAATATAATTATTGTCAAATGTCATGGCACCTAATAGGGTAAATGCCATTTTTTTATTTTAATGTCCATCTGGCGTATTATTTTAAAACTTAAAAAATAAATGAGTAATTAGTAAAAATACATGAGACTACCTCGTCGGCCGAGTGGTCGCAAGTGCGACTGCCGGGCAAGGGGTCTCGGGTTCAATTCCCGGGTAAGGCAAAGTACCTATTATGGGTTTTTTTTTAAATTCTCTGTAGTAGCAAGGAGTCTGGAATCGTGCCCGGTAAATATGGCAATAGGCTCACCCCATATTACATGGGACTCATAACATAAATAGTGAAAAGTGTATGTATACATTGTACAGTGGCATAATGTGCACCTCTGCCTACCCCCTAGAGGATAAAAGGCGTGGTGTTATGTTATGTTATGTTTTATTTAATTTAGTACTTTGCTTACAACAAACCAGTGCACTACTTATAATTATTAAATATTTTTATAATATATGTATATGCTCTGTAAAGATTTTTAAAATAAATAAATGAATTTCAGGCCGCTTAGCATAGCCATACACAAGATGAGAGGCCTGTCCACCGAGAAAGGTACGCAGTTGTTGTCTGAATTAGAAACTCTAGCGACGGAACTGACCGGGGAAGTCTGTATATTTCAACTAGCTCAACATACGCAGGTAATTAACTTATTTTTTTTTAAACTTTGCCCCACACTAGGATTTTCTCCTGTGTCGTGGGTGCGTTTACAAACATACAAGTTCTCATACACATGACACCCAAACCCGAAACAACAATTTGTGGATCACACAAAGAGTTGCTCCGTGCGTGAATTGGGTAGTTTCCAGGGTATCAAAATTAAAAATCTAATTAGTCCGTCAGTTAGATAGTGAAAAAATATTAGTCATATTACAAAATATTTGTACTTAGATAAAATGGCGCTAAGTTTAGGAGCGGGAGGTTGCTACGTCATAACGTGCTACAAAATGTGGCACGCTGTGACGTCACACGATATTTCAAATTAATATATCGTTGAAAGTATTTAATTTGGTGAGAAAAGAAAAAATACGTGTCTAAAGTTTTAAATTAATGTACCAGACGGGCATTAAAATAAGATTTAGGAAACAACCCTATTGAACCCGCTGCTCGTTGCGCGGCAGCCGGTCGCCTAGCCACCGCGCCAACTGTGCAGTCAATTAATTAAAAAAAAGCATTAGTACCTAGCATTATATAGTAGAACTTGTGACCATCCCTTCCCTCCTCTTCCCGCGTAGTCGTAAGAACTGACTAAGGAACTGAGTATTTTAACAGAGATCTCTCCTGTGTTTAGTTTATAATTGTTTTGTTGTTTTTTGTTCGTTTATATTCCAAATAAATGCTTTCTTTCTTAATAAATCTGATATTCTGATTAGCTGTCAACTCTCTTTGCTGGGCGACCGGCTGCCGCGCAACGTGTCCAGGGTTAGATTCCCGCACGAAACAACTCTTTGTGTGATGCACAGATTGTTGTTCCGGGTCTGAGTGTCATGTGTATGTGAACTTGTGTTTGTAAACGCACCCACGACACAGGAAAAATAATAATGTGGGCTACGTTTAAAAAAAGGGTAAAAGTCGTTGATGTATAAATTAAAAAAAACCTTAAGTTAATATTACAATAAGCCATAGCTACCATCACAATAAAATAAAACTATTCACCTCTCCATAAGGTTTAAATTACCAAATTATTTCAAAACTTAAAAACGTAATATTTCAGCAATTTCTTCACGACCACAACAAGCCGACGCTCTCGTTCTACGATGAAATGCTACAACAAAAGACAGAACAGGAACAATTGAAACTACATGATCTGAAAGTTAAGGAAAATGAAGAGGTATGGTACTGTAGTCTTTTTTTTAAGGGGGGAAAATCATCGAATGACTTCTCCCGCCTGGGTGAGCCGGGAGCCCGGGAGGGAGTGTCAGACTCTTACTGACTAAAAACCACCCCGTTCCTTCTCCTGCACGTCGAGCCGGAGCCCCGGTTACCCGTTAGGTTATCCGCGACATGGTACTGTAGTCCAAGATCCTCCTAATATTCGAAAATTTGTAACTTTGTGTATATGTTATACTTAAGCACTTCGAAACGGCCGAAGGGGTTCCTTTTTTTAAGGGGGGAAAATCATCGAATGTCTTCTCCCGCTTGGATGAGACAGGAGGGAGTGTCATACTCTCAATTACTAAAAACCACCCTGTTCCTACTTTTGCACTTCGAGCCGGAGCCCCGGTAACCCGATAAGTTCTCCGCGGCTCTTGTCGCTATCAGCCCTATTGGGCCCCATCCGTGGTAGTCTGATGTCTCTTTGGCTAAACGGCTGAGGGGTTTTTTTTAAGGAGGAAAACCATCGAATGTCGTCTCCCGCTTGGATGAGACAGGAGGGAGTGTCAGACTCTTACTGACTAAAAACCACCCCGTCCCTACTCCTGCATTTCGAGCCGGAGCCTCGGTAACCCGATAAGTTCCCCGCGCTCCGTATCGGCATCGGCCCTATTGGGCCCAATTCGTGGTGGTTTGATGGGTGGCTGAACGGTTGAAGGGGTAGTGATTAAATTTTGAACAGTGGTAGATTATGCTACGAGTCCTAGGGTATGAGCCTATTACCATTCACCAGGGCACAATTCTCAAATTCGTGCTACTGCTGAGAATTTTATAAAAACCCAGTACCCAGTACTTTGCCCGACCTGCGCAGGAACCGAACCTGAGATCCCTTGCCCGGCCTCTCCCCGAACTCGGCCAACGAGGCAGTATTTTTAAAAAGTAGAAGGTACATTTTATTTCATCTAAGCAAACTTTACACAGTTTAAACTGTAACTTATTGATTTAACTATGGTAGTTATGCATATCAATATGATTGGTAGAAATCAATATTATAATTGAAATGTCTCAAAAGAAATTGATTGCTATAGGTATTCTACACACGACATCACAACTTGTAGTGGTTAGATAGACAAGTATATTTTGATGTAACTCCCAGTGTTTTACTAGTTACCTACACGCGTCCCAAGTGTAACGGGGCTTACAGTAGTTGGCTCACGAGAAAGAAATCAGAAAATGTAGGTAACAAAATATGTCCTTATGTAACTTATGGAGAGTCCTGGTACATTTTGCCTTACGGCATGCAAAATTATTGAATTAATTGAATACATTGCCTAAGTTCCTATGTTGACATTTAGTTAACATTTTTATAATATATGAAATTGAGACACATATCGATCGACCTAGAATTACAATTAACAATAAATCGAAAATAGCATTATATAGTCATCACCATAATCGAAAAAATATAGGTATTACTAGTATAATCAAAACGACATGACGCTAGTGTAAACGGCCGGCTCACCTCCTATTATATGGAATTCATAACATAAATAGTGAAAAGTGGGTGTTACATTGTACAGTCGTATTAAGTGCCGTAATGTGCACTTCTGTCTACTTCTTCGAAAATAAAAGGGGTTAATGTTATATTTTATAATATGTAACTAATAATATTTCGCCTTTCCCTTTTCAGCGCCAAAAAATGAAAGTTGAGATCCAGAAGAGGCAAGAGATATTGCGTTGTGCGGGTCGGCAGCGTGTTCATAGATCTAGCATTAGCCAGGATAATGACAGCATAGACGGACAGGGAGACGCTCCTGAACTTGTATAGTACGTATAATATTAAAATAATCTAACTTCACACCTTAAATTCTTATCAAGGGCCGATTTAACTAACGCCAAATAAATTTTGACTGAGGTATAACTTTGAATATTTGATAATTCTTCCATACTAAAGCTCCGGCTCGACGTGCAGGAGAAGGAACGGGGTGGTTTTTATTCAGTAAGAGTCTGACACTCCCTCCCGCCTCACCCAGGCGGGAGCAGTCATTCGATGATTATCCCCCCTTAAAAAAAACACTAAAACCTGTCAAATGTCAATTTTATTCTACAGTTAATTTGTTAATTAACTTGTTAATTAAAAAATCGGCTCTAAGGTAGGTAGACGGGTTACCGGGACTCCGCCTTGAAGTGCAGGAGTAGGAATGGGGTGGTTTTTAGTCAGAAAGAGTCTGACACTCCCTCCCGCCTCACCCGGGCGGGAGCAGTCATTGGATGATTTTCCCCCCTAAAAAAAAGGTAGGTAGGCCAGATGGAAATGGCTATAATAAAAATGGCTAATGATAATTTCATTGTTTAGAAAATATTCACTGCACTATTGGCGCAGTGCCTATGCTACCGCGCAACGTGCAGCGGGTTCAGTTCTCGCACGGAGCAACTCTGTGTGTGATCCACAGATTGTTGTTCCGGGCGTCATGTGTATGTAAACTTGTATGTTTGTAAATGCACCCACGATACAGGAGAAAATCCTACTGTGGGGCAAAGAAATGAAATTAAGATTTGCTTGCCCTAGAATTTGAAAAGAAGCCCACCAGAATCTACTTATCAAAAATCTATTTCTATCTCTGTCTACTTTCAACAGAATAAAAAAATATTAAGTTGGTACCCATAATATTTTGATAAGGCCTAAATATTAAGGCTTTTGTCCAGCAGTGGACGCCTTTCGGCTGTTAATGATGATGATGATAATATTTTGATTAATTTTGCCTTAAATATAACATAACATCACGCCTTTTATCCCCGGAGGCGTAGGCAGAGGTGCACACAGAAGTAACACCCACTTTTCACTATTTATGTTATGAGTCCCATGTAATAGGGGGTTAGCCTATTGCCATATATCGGACACATTTCCAGACTCCGTGCTACGACTGAGATTTTTTTTTTTTAAAAACCTAGTAATCGCATTTGCGACCATTTGGCCAATGAAGCAGTTTCTTTTACATTTGTATTAATAATGACTCATTAATTTCTCAGTTACGCCGACGACAAGATGTCTCCAGTTAAGAAACCAGTTCGAACTAAGACAGTAGATATACCGTGCACCTGCAAGAACAGAGGCGTACAAGTCATTAGAATTACTCAAAGGAATAATAGGAAAGTTTATATCGGAAACTGTTTAGGTACGTATGTTAAAACTAGCTTTTACCCGCGGCTTCGCTCGCGTCACAAAAGGATAAAAAGTAGCCTATGTGACATATACCAATACATACAGCGCCATCTATACCAATACTTTTGTTTTCCCTTGGGAATATCAATTTTTTTCGGGATAAAAAGTACTCTATTATTTAATCCAGACTACTAACTTTACGTCTGCAGAAATTCAATGCAATCGGTTTAGTAGTTACGGCGTGAAGTCGGAATAAACAAACAAACTCACTTTCCGATTTATAATATTAGTAAGGATGTTGTTTATGTTTAACATCAATGCGTGTTGACCAACTGTGCGCTTCTCACGTAGCTTTATGCCTCGCACAGCAAAACTGTGGAATGATCTGTCGTCGGCGGTATTTCCGAACCGATACGACCTTCAAACCTTCAAGAAAAGAGCGTATTCCTTTTTAAAAGGCCAGCAACGCACTGACTCCTCTGGTGTTGCGCGTGTCCATGGGCGGCGCTGATCGCTTACCATCAGGTGATCCGTCTGCTCGTTTGCCACCTATTCCATAAGAACCCATACGCCTATAAATTAATTTCGAAAAAGTTAATGTTAATTGAAGGGTCTACAAAAACACTAAAATTAGTTTCACTTGTGTAAAACAAGATTAATAAGAGTTACTTTAAGTTTAAGCCATTTTTGTCCTTTATCTTCATACAAGCTTTTACCCGCGGCTTCGCTCGCGTCACAAAAGGATAAAAAGCCAATGTGACATATACCAATACACACAGCGCCATCTATACCAATATTTTTGTTTTTCCTCGGGAATATCAAATTTTTCCGGGATAAAAAGTACCCTATTATTTAATCCGGACTTTTAACTTTACGTCTGCAAAATTTCAAAGCAATCGGTTTAGTAGTTACGGCGTTAAAGTGGAATAAACAAACAAACTCACTTTCCGATTTATAATATAAGTAAGGATAGATGTCGCCATAAGTTAACGTGACCTTGTCTTTAAGCTGGAGTAGAAACAGGGAATTTTAGTAAGCAGAGTCTGACACCCCCTTTCATCTCACTCAAGGCGAGGCATTTGATTGTTTTCCGTACTCAAAAAAACGTTATCTCCTTACCTTCCTTTTTTTATAGCATAAGCCAACAAACGAGCAGACGGATCACCTGATGGTAAGCAATCAGCGTCGCCCATGGACACCTGGAACACCAGAGGCGTTACAAGTGCGTCACCGGCTTTTTCGGGATTAGGAGTTTGAGGGTCGTTGGGGATTCAGGGATTGGGGAGATTGGGGAGATTGGGGAAGGACAAGGTAATTGGGCCTTCCGAAAACACATAACACGCCTTTTTATCCCCGAAGGGGTAGGCAGAGGTGCACATTACGGCACTTAATGCCACTGTACAATGTAACACCCAATTTTCACTATTTATGTTATGAGTCCCATGTTATAGGGGGTGAGCCTATTGCCATATACCGGGCAGATTTACAGACTCCGTGCTACTACTGAGATTTTTAAAAACCCAGTAATACTTTGCCCGACCCGGGAATCAAACCCAACGAGGCAGTCTCCCGAAAACATACATAAATGTCACGTATTATTCTTTTCTTCTCCACAGGCCACTCCTCAAACGGCGCAACAACATACTTAGCAATAGACGATGAAGGGGAGCGATTAATAGCAAAAAAGTGGATCGCGCCGCCCGCCAATGACTTCCAAGCGCGAACCCGACAACTAACCTCCATACAACAAGATCTGAAAGCCATGTCCCGACTGAACCACCCTTCTATAACACCATATATAGCCATGGAGACAATAAAAGACGCGAACAAACGGACAGCTAAACAATATATATACTTATTCAGAAAATTCGTCTTAGGCAGTGCTTTGAAAAGTGTTAAAAGTAGACTCAGTGTTTTTAGTGATTGTTATGAAGGGTTAAAACTGTTAAGACATGTCGGTTTGGGGGTCTTAGGGGCTTTAAAGGAGCTGCATAGTGTTGGGATCGTGCATAAAGATGTGAGGGGTCAAAATGTGTATCTGGACGACTTCGGTGGGGTCAAGTTGGTAGGAATTGGTCTTGATGTGAGACTCGCTGAGATGCTGGACAGTGATTTGTATAGTGACAGGTAAGATGAAGGTATGATCATGTTCTTTCTTCGCTTCCTCAAGATTTTTTGACTTAAATACATTAACTCTTTGAGTACCTTCATTATAGACACAATTAAAGAACAATAGGTTGCGGTCACCGGTGTACTCGCGGTGTTTGACAGTTGTATTTTCAATCAACAAAGAATCTTAGATGACATCTTTATGTAAAAACTATTAGCCCCAGCTTTGTATCTCCGTAATGTAATTTCGATGACTCATGTAGTCAGTCAGTTATTAACTTTTACTTTGTATAGTAGGAATAAACCTGAATCTATTTAGAAAAAAAAACTAAACACCTTTTGGCGCTATACCAAAACTCTGACTGCTTAAATAATAATTTATTTCGTCTGATTCTCAATTTCAAGGCACACAGCAGCGCAAGATATTTATGCCACCGGGCTGTTACTACTGTCAATAGTGTCACAAGAAAAAACCTACATGGATATACCGCCCGACCTGCCTAGTTCTGCTAAGGATTTTTTTGCCAGGTAATCTACACCTAGATCTAAGCCTAGAATAATTAAATGTATTCTTTATATCTAAATTTCGAACATTGTATCATAAACGAGTGTTTATTTGCGCACCTGATTGCGCTAAAGAGACTTTTGCGCAAAAAGGTTTGTTCATGGATTGACTTCAGGGAAATTATAATATACTAAACTTCTGCCCGCGACTTCGTACACGCAATCCGGTTTTCTCCGGTTTCCATAAGATTTTTAGGTTTTTTTTTCTATCATAAGAACCTTCTGACAATAACAAACACAGTAAAAAAAATCAGCCAAATAGGTCTAGCCATTCTCATGTTATGGCGTGAGAACGGGAAACGGGTTTCATTTTTATTATATAATATATATTTTATATTGTACTACATAATATATTTGATATTTTTATTATTCTACAGATGTTTAACAGAAGACGAACAATCTCAATGGTCAGCAGAACAACTATTAAACCACGCGTTCATGGTCGATGCTCCATCCAAACTGCCAAGTAATAAAGAGCAGAATCATGAAGGCAGCGGCTCTGAGGTATACATCAATTATTGTACTTTCAACCTTCTCTTTAGTGTTGTAAGGTTTAAAATAGTTATGTCGGATCATGTGTTCAAGATGTTGTTATCGGTCTATCATTGTAAATTCAACACTGTTCTACATATTTTAGTACTACATAGTTTGTTTTTTATATAAGGCCTGAATGCAAATTTTTGCTCATTCTTCTGTATTCGATTCTCTTTAACTTGAATAAAGATTTTGAAATAACTAACGTAACATAACATCACGCCTTTTATCCTCGAAGGGGTAGGCTGAGGTGCATATTACGGCATTAATGCCACTGTACAATGTAACACCCACTTTTGATTATTTATCTTATGAGTCCCATGTTTTAGGAGGTGAGTCTATTGCCATATACCAGACATAATTCCAGACTCCTGAGAATATAATAATACTACTGAGAATTCAAAAAAAAAACCCAGTGAGACCCCTTGCCCGGCAGTCGCACTTGCGGCCACTCGGCCAACAAGGCAGGCGAGTGAAATATATAATGTCGTTAAAAACGTATTTTTCAATACTTCCAGGACGATGAAGCTGTAAAGAAGATCCACCACACTAGTCCTATGACGAATGGACATTCGCGTCTTCACGCTGAGTTTGAAGTTCTTACGTGGCTAGGCAGCGGTGCGTTCGGTGACGTACTAAAGGTACATGCGCACTTATTATTGTAGACCTTTATTTATGTATACTTACTGTAGTTGTGTTTAATTAAAAAATCAGTCAACGCCATCTATCGGGCTATGATACAACTTTAATAATATATTAATTTTAATAGTAGTATGGCGTTGGTTGATCTTTAACGAAGAATATTTCTACATTGAAAGTTCTTTTTTTGATACCTATTGTGACGTCACAATTAAGTGACGGGACATCCAAACCGATTCAGTAAAGCACAAATAAGTGTATGATATTGTTATACACGATTAAATAAAAACACTGTAAAACATTAATTCACTTACCTCGTCTTCATTGTCAATGAGTTTTAGTATAGTGGGGCATGCCGTTTTTTTCAACAATCTCAATCTGTTTTTTTTTTACTCGTACCTACATATTGACTGATTGTGAATTTCATTAATACTTACAATGGTTGAGACATACCCAATATTTGCATGACTAACGGGTAGAACAAAGAGATACAATATGTAACAAAAATAAATAACACCTTAGGCACTAATTATGTCGCGGAGAACCTAACGGGTAACCGGGGCTCCAGCTCGACGTGCAGGAGAAGGAACGGGGTGGTTTTTAGTCAGTAAGAGTCTGACACTCCCTTCCGCCTCACCCAGGCGGGAGCAGTCATTCGATGATTTTCCCCCCTTAAAAAAAAGGCACTAATTATGTACTACACCTCTGTTCAGCAAATACAGACATTTGATTTGATTTTGATTTCTGTGTAGTCTGTATTTCTGTGTCTAGATATATGCCTGTGGCATAAACTGTAGCCAAAATACCTTAACCAATCAGTTTTCAAATACAAGCAGTTACTTACAGGTTAAAAACAAACTAGATGGCGGTTTCTACGCGATCAAACGCATTAAACTTAACCCTGAGAGCGTCCAGTTAAACAGGAAGATAACAAGAGAAGTTAAGTTATTATCTAGACTCAACCATGAGAACGTCGTAAGATATTTTAACGCGTGGATCGAGACCAGTATTGAAGTAGAAGAAGATGATATAAGTGAAGAGATAGAGATAGAAGATGTTAAAAAGCGAGTTGATAGTTTGCAAGGTGAGTTTGAATTGTTTTTATGATTCTAATGCCGGAATACTGAAACGTTACTCAATTTTAAGTCGTGCTTAAATATCATGCTGTCTCTGTCATTTCACAAAGAATTTGTAGAGACAGAACTATACTTAAGCGTGACTTAAAATTGAGTAACGTTTCAGTATTCGGGCATAAGATAGACTGCACGGGTGGCGCGGTGGCTAGGCAATTGGCTGCCACATACGTATCGCAGGTCCAATTCCCGCGCGGAACAACTTTGTGTGATTGACAGTTTGTTGTTCCGGGTCTGGGTGTCATGTATATGTGAAATTGTATGTTTGTAAACGCATCTATGAGACAGAAGAAAATACTAGTGTGGGGCAACGTTTTAAAGAAAGACAAAAAGAAATAAAACAAGATGAAAAGTTATGTTTTTTTATTACATAACATCACGCCTTTTATCCTCGAAGGGTTAGGCATAAGTGCACATTATACCACTGTACAATGTAACACCCACTGTTCACTATTTATGTTATGAGTCCCATGTAATAGGGGGTGAGCCTATTGCCATATACCGGGCACAGTTCCATACTCCGTGCTACTACTGAGATTTTTTTTTAAAACCCAGTATTATTTTGCCCGACCCGGGAATCGAACCCGAGACCCCTTGCCCGGCAGTCGCAATCGCGACCACTCTGCCAGTGAGGCAGTTTTTTTATTAATATTCAAATAAAATTATTAATGTTTTTAACAAAAAACCATGTCTTTTGTTCCAATGTTTTTGTTGTTAAATATAATAATCATCTGTTGTTGTATACTATATTGTTTCTTTTGATTTTTTTATTAAAATGTCATCTTTTTAAATACAGGTCTTACCCTAAGTCGGAGTTTAGGTAGGAAAAGTTACCTCATAGACTCTTAACTTTACATAACAATTTAAAACGCATTATAACTTAAATGCTTGATAATTGTAATATGGAATGTATTAGTCTTAAGCGCAATGATTGTGATTACAATTTGTAACATGCGCAAAATCTTTGCGCTGACACCGGATTTTTGCGCAACACTAAATCGATTTATACTTAACTTTCCAGGCGTTGTAGCAAAACTAGGCCAAGATGTGAAGGTGGAATGGTCAATGTCAGAGATTCCTGTACAGAACACGAACACATCATCAGACAGCGAGGATGAAGATGATGATGACGATGATGATGAACGGGATCCCTGGTTCAATATAATGAGGTGAGATGTGATTTTGTTTCGTGGTGTGGGTAGTTGGGACTTTACTCCAACTACCGTTCCTCTCCCTTTTATGTAATAATTGAATTATTAATTTATTAAACGTTATTACTAGGTTTTTATAATAACCATCGTGAGTCGAGGTAATCGTGAATTGATCAAAGCTCTAGTAGTTTCAAGTCGCAGAGGGACTCTTCCTAGTACAGCTTTTCTCAGTATATTTACAGTTTGAATTCATTTATTTCTAAAAGATTACAAATCACTTGTACAGAAATAATATTTACGTGAGTAACGCGTGATTTTTTAAGTGTGGGAGAGCCATGCTTCGGCACGAATGGGCCGGCTCGACCGGAGTGATACCACGGCCTCACAGAAGACCGACGTGAAGCAACGCTTGCGTTGTGTTTCGTCGTGTGAGTAAGGGGAAGGTAATTGGGCCTCCGGTAACCTCTTACCGGAGGCCCAATTACCATCCCCTTCCCCAATCTCCCCAATCCCTGAATCCCCAACGATCCTCAAACTCCTAATCCCCAAAAAGCCGGTGACGCACTTGTAACGCCTCTGGTGTTCCAGGTGTCCATGGGCGACGCCGATTGCTTACCATCAGGTGATCCGTCTGCTAGTTTACCGGCTTATGCCATAAAAAATTATAGTTAATATAGTTATTATTAGGTTTAAAAATGTCTTTCCCTCTCGATATGAAGTAATTTTCTAAACTTTATCTCTGCACTGAGAATTTAATTACATGCATAACATCATGCCTTTTATCCCCAAAGGGGTAGGCAGATGTGCACATTACGGCAATTAATGCCACTGTATAATGTACCATTCATTTTTCACTATTCATGTTGTGAGTCCTATGTAATAAGGGGTGAGCCTATTGCCATATACCCGGCACATTTCTAGGCTCCGTGCTGCTGCCGTGATTTTTTTTTGTAAAACCCACTAATACTTTAAATACTTGTTACATGGTTTCCAATATAACTGTTAAAAAGTTCGTAAATAAAATAACAGGACATCTTGATATCTATAAGAAATGTACCATGCGTTACTTGAGTTTGAATGCACAAATAAAACTATCTAAAGTAGCTCTTCACTATTGAAATAATACCATTTTTCCTAACTTATAAAAATCACACGCTACCATACAGTAATTCTAAAATACTCACAAATAAATAAAACAATGATATTCAGTGAACCGCGTGCTAATTTAGAAGCTTATCCCTAAACATAATAAATGCCCTTCTTCTTTGACAAAAAATACCATGTCTCATAAACACCAAAACAAAAGAGAGACCTCTTTTGTTTATAAATAATGACATATAACGAAAAGGATCCCTATTTACAGTTAGTTAGAGGTCTAAATCTATTGTCTGTTTATTATAAGCTTCGAAAACAATAGCTACAATGTTTATGAAAGTTTTAAAGTATGAAGAAAGGTGATGGGTTAGTCAGTCCTTGCTTAGCCTTGGTACCGTGAGGTTGTGTTTCGAACCATCGGAGAGCGCTCCTGAAAATACGATTTTATACACGTATATTAAAATCGGTGTGGTTTTAGTAAAGTGTGTGAGATTATTGAGTTGTAATTTGTAGAACAATTCTTTCACGTACTTGTAATATAAATCGGTGTGGTTTTTAGTATACTTGTGATATATTATAAGTTGTACTTGATTTCATATTCAATATGAGTTGTCACGTATTTGACGAGTAAGTGTAATGTGAATAATTACGGTATCAAATTATTTTTTGGAAAAAAATACTTTTGGAAAATAATAATTACAGTTTTTAACGTTTCGTAAAAGTTTTAGAAACTATTTCAGCATCAGCGGTCTTTAGCAACTGAATAAATAGAAATATTATGCCCAGTCTATAATTATCTCCCTTTATATTTACAACTTAAAATTGCCTGATTATTCATTGTCTTTTTTATATTCAACCGCTTTTATTAAGTCACTAGCTACTTGTGCGCGGTTTCACCCGCTCTGCTCAGCTCCTATTGGTCGTAGCGAGATATTTTATAGCCTATAACCTTCCAAGATAAATGGACTATCCAACACAAAAATAATATTCAATTCGAATCAGTAGTTTCTGAGATTAGCGCGTTCAAACAAACAAACAAAAAAACAAATTATTCAGCTTTATAAATTGTCCTTTTTATATTCAACACACTTTTATTAAGTCATTAAATCTAACAATCTGAATAACACATTCTTCTAGTTGTTGTATTACTAGTCTAAAATCCAAACAAAACTCAACCCTAAACCCTTAAACATACTAATCAAAATCCAATAAATTCCAGGCCAGATGACGATTCAAGTAGCGGGGTGGAATTTGAGGAAGAATCAAATCCGTCGCAGACTATAGAATCTGAAGGCGCGGTGGACGCGCCGCGGCCCCCATCGGAACGCGTGAAACAAGTGCTGTATATACAAATGGAGTTCTGTGAGAAACATACTCTACGGCAGGCCATCGATAGTGGACTATATCAGGAGCATTTTCGAGCGTGGAGGTTGTTTAGGTAAGGTGTCTTTTTTTTAAATCTTTATTTATTTAGAGGCTTTTCCCTTACAATATTACAGCCTCATCATACCCTAATCTAACTTAACTAACTTCATTTAATTATAATTAAATATTTATTGCTAACTTACCTTACTTATTCCTGTGTAAGCGAGGGGGATAGTACTGCACCAACCATTTCATAAATAAGGTCCGCTTCTTTTGAACTTGGTACAGATAATATTTTAACGAAAGCCCCGACATCATATCTTCTAACCTTTAGTTCAGTGATGCAAGGTGTCTTTTATACTTAGTTTTGTGTCGTAGTGACAGTAAAGTAAAATACTTTTGTGACAATCTTTATTCATCTAGCGGCTATCGTAAGGGCTGACTGTTGACTGACAACTTTATTTATGGCATAAGCCGGTAAACGAACAAATGGATCACCTTATGGTAAGCCATCGGCGCCGCCCATGGACACCTGGAACACCAGAGGTGTTTAAAGTGCGTTACCGGCCTTTTGGGGATTCAGAGTTTGAGGATTGTTGGGGATTCAGGATCAGGATTTTTAGTTAATTTAGTATGTCTCACGATAGTTATTATAAAAATACTTTTAATTGTTGTTGATACATTGCAGTCTTTCGTTATATAAAAACGATGTTTATAAACATAACATACCATCGCGCGTTTTATCCCCGAAAGGATAGGTAGAGGTGCGCATTATCTATGTAACCCCACTGTACAATGTAACCCCCACTTTTTACTATTTATGTTATGAGCCCCATGTAATAGGGGGTGAGCCTATTGCCATATACCGGGCACAATTCCAGACTCCGTGCTACTACTGAGTAATAGTTTGCCCAACCCGGGAATCGCACCCGAGACCCCTTGCCCGGCAGTCGCAATTGCGACCACTCGTAAACGAGGCAGTCACGAACGGTCAAGAACGATGTTTTATATTAATAAAAAATACGTAAATTATACACAATGAGCTTTAATAATATTCTCTTCTATAAATTCCAGGGAGATAGTGGAAGGTCTAGCCCATGTCCACCAAAGAGGTATGATCCACAGAGATCTGAAGCCGGTCAACATATTCCTGGACTCCAACGACCATGTCAAGATTGGAGACTTCGGTCTAGCTACCAAAGCATTCTCTGTCTTACCAGTGGATGGTAAGTTGGAATAAATATTTTTTTTTTATATTTCGTATTGATTTTTTCTTGTAATTATGTTGGTATCCACAAAAATTTACCATGTTTGATTATTATGTTTCAGAAAAAGCTAAACAAGAAGAAATTGGCGGTTCGCTTACAGGCCAGGTAAATGAACTAAAACTTGCATCAAATAGTTTCAAACAAGTGACGCAACTAACTGAATTACATACCGCTTGAAATATAACACTTAGGTTATCTGCAACACCAGACGTATCAAACTGACTGCCTCGTTGGCCGAGTGGTTGCAATTGCGACTGCCGAGCAAGGGGTCTCGGGTTCGATTCCCGGGTCGGGCAAAGTATTACTGGGTTATAGCAATAGGCTCACCCCCTATTACATGGGACTCATAGCATAAATAGTGAAAAGTGGGTGTTACATTGTACAGTGGTATAATGTGCACCTCTGCCTACCCCTTTGAGGATAAAAGGCGTGATGTTATGTTTATGTCAACCCAACCAGAGGTTTTAATGTGACTACAGAACTCTGCAGTTGCTCAGCTTTATATTTTACACACCACCAACAAACGCCAAACCATAAAGAATTATATAATTTTTCCCACATTCCAGATCGGCACAGCTCTATACGTGGCTCCAGAGCTCCTCCAATCCAGTTCCAAAGTTATATACAACCAGAAAGTGGACATATATTCTCTGGGCATCATCCTCTTTGAGATGTTTCATCCACCGCTAGACACTGGGATGGAGAGGATGTTGGTCCTAACGAATTTGAGGAGCAAAGACATTATAATGCCCAAAGGTTTTGAGAAAGAAGAGAATGCTCGACAGATTCATGTTATAAGGTAATTGCTAATAAGAATTTTAAAAATTATTCAAAGTCAAAGCGTTTATTTCAATTAAACCATAATTTGGTACTTTTAAAACGTCAACAGATACAAAATAAATAGTTGTCCGTCAATGAAGCTAGGTGCTCATTCCATAATGTAGATTCGAATGGAGAAGAACGAGCAAGAAACTCCATTCGTTACTGTTTTAAAAAATAATAATGGAAAATTAAAGAAAACTGTCTGTATCTCAGTACAAGTATTTTACTACATTTTCACTTCCTGAAAGATAAGCCTTTGTCTGCAAATCAAGTTATACCTTTTAAAAAGTATTGGAATTTATTTAGCCAAGTTGAAGGAAATAATTTACTAAAAGCCTCTTTTTGGGTTGCGTATATCATAACTGGCACGGTGTTACATTTTTCCTATTAGGAAAATATTAGAATAATTTATCGAAATATTACAAAGTAACACAACAAAATCTATAGAAAAACCAATTTTACACACACATTCGTCAAGCCTCAGTCTCATCCAACATTTAACCAACTTACAGAAAAGATTATTCATTATCATCATCATCAACAGCCTATAAATGCCCACTGAAATGAAATTATAAGTCCAGGTTTCCTCACGATGTTTTTCCTTCACCGTTTGTCAGTGGTGTCTAAATAATCTTAGAAAGTACATATAACTCGGAAAAAGTCAGATTGGTACTTGCCGTTGGTAGGTTTCGAACCCGCACCCTCATGCATGAGAAGTGGGCGTCTTAAACCTCCGGGCCACCATGACAAGATTATTAATTTGACCTAATTATTGTTCCAGGTGGCTGCTAAACCACGAACCGAGCTTACGTCCTACTTGCGCAGAATTACTGGGCAGTTCCCACGTGCCCCGCGCGGTGCCTGAAGGCGCGCTAGCGGGGTTGCTATCCCACGCACTAAGCGATCGAATGGCGCGAGGCTATACCAGGCTTGTTGCCGCCTGTCTAGACCAGAGACCGTCGGCCGCTGAAGACTATACGTACCATAATGATATGAAGACTAAGCCACAGGAGTTGTTGCAGCAGATCAAGGATGCTGTTATTAAGGTATGCTGAGTTTTATTTGATTTTTTTTCATGGCACAGGCCGGTAAACGAGCTGATGGTAAACAATCGGCGTCGCCCATGGACACCTGGAACACTAGAGGCATTACAAGTGCGTTACCGGCCCTTTGGGGGTAACGAGTTTGAGGATCGTTGGGGATTCAGATGATTATATTTTATTAACAACAAACAATTGCATATTAAACATAACACATGAATGCAGTAGTAAAATAATAGATTTAACCAATGGCGTGATGTTATGTTATGTTATGAATCGGTAATCGTAAGTGTTTTTAATACTTATCCATTAAATTTTAATAACTAAGTCCATTGTCAACGATCGATGATCTATGCTTATACAGTGTAGTACCAGAAAAACTGAAATTCTACGTCTAAAATAGTATTGCAATGTAAACTGAAAATTGTGCACTCTTAGTACAGTTCTGCTTACCCCAATTTGTTGATATCAGTCACAACGCGATACTGTTTTTATATACATTCACTTAAAATTATAGTTGTATACTTTTTCAAACTAAAATACGTGATAAAAATTTTTCGATGATGTCTTCATGAAATATTAATTATCAAAAGTCTTTCATAAGTATAGAGATTCAATAATAATTTTATCATGTGCAGTCTAGGCTTTAATTTCACCGTCTATTGGACATGACGAGGTGGCCGAGTGGTTAAGGCGTTGGACTGCTAATCCAATGTGCTCTGCACGCGTGGGTTCGAATCCCATCCTCGTCGATTCTTTTTGTTAATTATAACATTTGTTTTTTACTTTTTTTAGTAATAAATGCGTTTAGTTATGCATTATTTGGGTTATTAATGTTAAATTATGGTTTTATTTATTTTATTGATAAAAATTTCTTGGTAAATTAGTCAAATGAAATTAGGTAATTTGGAAAAGTTTTAAAAAGCGTGGACGATATAATTAATATAAAAAAGTAACCAGAATGGCTGCGTTGATACTTTGCATTCATGAGCGCGACGTTTAAGCGCGCGGTTTTGTGTTCAAGCTGGGTTGCGCAAAGTAATATTACTTTTTTTTAACAAAATTTTTTCTTCTCAATATTAAAATATTTATAATGAAGCATCAGCTTTAATTATTAAATGAATATACAATGGTGTGAATTATTTATTTACTTCATTATTATAATATTACGTGATGATAGTTCAATTTTATTTTTATCGTCATAAATGTTTATAATTATTGTGTCCGTCTCAAACATTTTTCTTAAATAAACAGAAGTAGTGCTTCTGAATGGCGATATAATGATATATTAAACCCTACCCTTAACCGACGAGCATGCATGAAAATACTGATGACTGTTGATGAAGCGAAAGAGGTATGTAAGAATCGTAGTAATGTGCGTTCCATAGTCTCTGCCTACGTCCATGGGAGATAATCGTGTCGTTCGAAGAAGGCATGGCGCGTGAGGGAACGAACCTCCTCAGGGTAGACACTCAAGGCGTCGGTGATCACATCTCCGGCCACCGTTAGCGCGGTCGCGGAGAACCTAACCGGTAACCGGGGCTCCGGCTCGACGTGCAAGAGAAGGAACGGGGATGGTTTTTATTCAGTAAGAGTCTGACACTCCCTCCCGCCTCACCCAGGCGGGAGCAGTCATTCGATGATTTACCCCGCTTAAATTAAAAAAAAACAAAATGGGAGATATTCGTAAAGTTATGTAGGTATGTATGTATGTAACTATATAATATTCTTTACAGGTATTCCGTAGTCATGGTGCTACAGAATTCTCCCCTCCTCTCTTGATTCCTCGAGCCTCCGCTTGGGACCAGCATCCCAACGCTGTTAAGGTGATGACGTCATCAGGCTCCGTCGTACATCTACCTCACGATTTGAGACTGCCCTTCGCTAGGTAAGTGTTTGTTGTCGTAATTTGAACTATATGAGGCGGTGATAGGGTTAATTTTTCTTTAAAAAGAAACAGTTTTTAATTATGAGGCATTGAATTCGGTTTCGTTATGTGCAGTGACTTCGATCGACTCTAATCGGTTAATGTTTACATTGAATTCGACTTTATATTATAAAAATAAAGTTGAAAATTTAATAATACATTTTGACTAATAGTGGTTTGAGTAACTACGGTACGTCTACTACCTAACATAATGAAATATGAACTTTATACCAAAGTGATAAAGTATTAACTGCCTCGTTGGCCGAGTGGTCGTAAGTGCTACTGCCGGGCTTTGCCCGTCTCTCGGGTCTCGGGTTCGATTCCCGGGTCGGGCAAAGTATTACTGGGTTTTAAAATATTCTCAGTAGTAGCACAGAGTCTGAAATTGTGCCCGGTATATGGCAATAGGCTCACCCCCTATTACATGGGACTCATAACATAAATAGTGAAAAGTGGGTGTTACATTGTACAGTGGTATAATGAGCACCTCTGCCTACCCCTTCGGGGATAAAAAAGGCGTGATGTTATGTTGATAAAGTATTAACTAGTGATGAAGATTAAGTACCACTTTCATTAGGTCTTTTAGACGTTATTGTAATGCTAATATAACCTTTATTCTTACAGACATATAGCTTACAATGGCACAAGATACATGCGGCGATATGTCGTGGACCGGGTGTACAGGGAGAAACATGTGCAAGGGTTCCATCCAAGAGAGATTACTGAGTGTGCCTTCGACATTGTTTCGCCGAAGACTGGTAAGTTTTTGAAGTACATCCTTTTTTTTAATGGCATAAGCCGGTAAACGAGCAGACGAATCACCTGATGGTAAGCAATCGGCGTCGCCCACGGAGACCTGGAACACCAGAGGCGTTACAAGTGCGTCACCGGCTTTTTGAGGATTAGGAGTTTGAGGATCGTTGGGGATTCAGGGATTGGGGAGATTGGGGAAGGGGAAGGTAATTGGGCCTCCGGTAACCTCACTCACACGACGAAACACAACGCAAGCGTTGCTTCACGTCGGTTTTCTGTGAGGCCGTGGTATCACTCCGGTCGAGTCGGCCCATTCGTGCCGAAGCATGGCTCTCCCACACTTGCATTTTTCGATTTCATTTTTCGAAAATGTCTTACTTACACGTCACAACGAAGCCCTAAATGTTGTGATTTTTCTGTCTGAAGATAGGAGGCAAAGCTAACAAATACCTGATAGGAGGCAAAGCGAACAGACCTGAGCGTACGGCGCGTCGCGTTCCGCACTCGCCTTAACCCGTCGAGCGTCCGCTTTCCTTATGATCCAACGGGTGCACACGTGACATTTGGAGAGAGAAAGAAAAAATGCATTTATTTGGCCATTGGCACACGAAAACAAGGATCGTTACAATAGAAATAAAAAATACAGTCAAAATAAAAACAAAACATTAATAATAGATTTTATATAAGAGAAAGCAGCATGGAGCATTTTTTCTTATGATCCACCGGGTGCTCATAAGGACGCTCGAGGAATTAAAGAGCCATCAGACCACCACGGATGGCGCCCAATAGGGCTGATGCCGAAAATCTCAGTAGTAGCACGCAGTCTGGAATTGTGCCCGGTATATGGCAATATGCTCATCCCCTGTTACATGGGACTCATAACATAAATAGTGAAAAGTGGGTGTTACATTCTACAGTGGCATTCTACATTCTAATGTGCACCTCTGCCTAGCCTTTTGTGAATAAAAGGCGTGATGTTATGTACTCTTAAGTCAAGGATACACTAGGGGACAAATGACCTGCAACGTGTGTCGCCAGTGTCGTTGGGTGAAGTAGTAAGAAGTTGCCAGACTTTTGTCGACATACCTGACAATATCAACGTCACCTGCCTACCCCTTCGGGGATAAAAGGCGTGATGTTATGTTATGTAAAGTAAGTAAAGTGGCTTGTGTCCGAATGATCTCAATGTCAATATGGTGGCTGTGCGCCGCTTCCACTGGCGCCGCTCCTCGCCCCGCGCGCCACCTCTTTCCCGGGACCGTCCGCCTGTATTCACGCGTACCGCTTCACCCTATTTCATCATAATATCAGGCAAAAAACACTAATTGCTAAGAGAGACCCAATGACATGTAGATCTACCAGTTAGACGCGACCTGCATCTGGCAGCTGAACTTTATCGTCTATCCCCCTTACCTCTGTCGCGGATATCCTAACGGGTTACCGGGGCTCCGGCTCGACGTGCAGGAGAAGGAAGGGGTGGTTTTTAGTCAGTAAGAGTCTGTCACTCCCTCCTGTCTCATCCAAGCGGGAGAAGACATTCGATAATTTTTCCCCCTTAAAATAAGAAAGAAAGAAAAATCATTTATTCGACCGTAGGCACGCACACAGATACAAAAAAATACAAAATTAAAAAAGAAAAGAACAAATAAATACACTTATTTATACAGATATAGAAAAAACACAAAGAAACGACAACATATAACAAAACAGTGACAATAGAATACTAACACAATAATTAAAAATTAATAAAAACAAGATATAAATAAATAAATAACATTTACGGTGCGTGCCCTTGCCAAAATGGCCTCCATCTCAGCATTAAGTTGAGATAAAAAAATCCCCCTTACCTCTCAACGAAAGAATTTCCCATTATACAATTTATTTCCTACTAGCTTTTACCCGCGGCTTCGCTCGCGTCACAAAAGGATAAAAAGTAGCCTATGTGACATATACCAATACATACAGCGCCATCTATACTAATACTTTTGTTTTCCCTCGGGAATATCAAATTTATTCGGGATAAAAAGTACCCTATTATTTAATCCAGACTACTAACTTTACGTCTACAAAAATTCAATGCAATCGGTTTAGTAGTTACGGCGTGAAGTCGGAACAAACAAACAAACAAACAAACTCACTTTCCGATTTATAATATTAGTAAGGAAGTAAGGATAAATAAACAACTTATATTACAGACTCGCTATGGCCAGACTCCGAGCTGCTGGTAGTGGCCAGTAGAGCAGCGTCAGACAGTGGTCTGAAGGTGTCTCTACAGCTGAACCACACAGAGTTACTGCGCACTCTACTTCTGTCCTGCGGGGTACCCATGGACAAACACGCCGACATATATCCTGTACTCGTTGATGTTAGTTTTGGTAAGTGTTTAAAATATAAAACAAAAAAAATGTTATAAGTGTTTTTGTTGGAGGGTAAACAAGCTAAATTAATTAAAATCGCGCGTTACTCACGTGAATATACTGAGAAAAGCTCTACTCTCACGATAGTTATTATAAAAACAAATTTATTAGTGAGTCCCATGAAATATGTAACAATTGGGTAATTGCCAACTAGTCAAATTCAATACTTTTTTCGAACTGTCAAAAACGACAGTTTTCTATGAATTTTGAACGAGATTGTGTATTATGACGTCACTTTTTTTAATCGTCAAACAGCTACTTATTACTAAAAAATTTGCTTAAAAAATACTAAAATTAAGTTGGTCATAAAATCAATTAATAAGAGTGTGATTAGCCTACAGTAGGCCGCGCGACATCGCCATGAGTAACCCGCGATTTTTAATTAATTTGTTAAATAAATTAATAAATACGAGGTGTACACTGTACCTTTAATAATAATAACAAATGATTCTCCAACAGGTCGCATAACAAGTCTACAACTGCAAACCCACTTAACATCCCTTTGCATAACAAATAAAGATGTTTCGAACCTCGTCCGTTTAATGGATGCTGACGTACCAATACATGAAGTGAGAGAGCTAGTCATACCGTACGTCAAACAAGCTAAGTGGAGCAAGGTCGTGTCACAAGCTGTACATGATTTGGAAGCTGTGTATAGAAACGCTAAGGCGTTGGGGTGTGAGGTTTGTATCTTATTTATGCTATCTTTTTTATGGAATAGCCGGTAAACGAGCAGATGGATCACCTGATGGTAAGCAATTGGCGCCATCTTTAAACACTCGCATCACCAGTGATGATACAAGTACGATGCTGACGATTTGGGGATTTAAATATTGGCATAGTTAAGTTTTACGAGGATCCTCGACTAGTTTCGGATTATACTGGGACCCTTACTTTTGAGTTGCATATGTGACGATGTCATTTGTTTGACGTGGTCTACAGTAACTATTTTAATAATGAATATACAAACTTAGCAATCGTGTACAAAACAGTCATAATGCCAACTTTAAGTTAACTTGTGCAGCGTGAGCGACCCAGACCCGAAAAAACAATAAGTGGATCACACTAAGTGTTATTCCGTGTGAGAATCGTACCCGCGACACGCTGCACGGCAGCCGGTTGCCCAGCCACCGCACCGTGCGGTCAAATATTGATAACTAATTCAGATTTTTAGCGTATAAATAAGACAATAATATTGTATTTCTTTTCACAGTGCCCTATAACAGTGGCTCCATTCCTGGCCTACAACGCGACGCAACATTCTGGAATATTCTGGCAAATGTCTGTCATACGGAATACGGAGAATAAGCTTGTCACTCCAAAACATCGGGCTGGGGACCTCGTTGCAGCGGGAGGGAGGTATATATAATATAATTAATTTTTATTTACTGATAACAATTTAAATTAAATAAATATATTATATAACTTAAAGTGTAATATAAACAACTAAAATGTTTACACTGAAAAAAAGTTATAATAATAATAAAAATGTAAGAAAGATGATATTATTTTGTCACAACTGCCTCGTTGGCCGAATAGCCGCAAGTGCGTGCAGCAAGGGGTCTCGGGTTAAATTCCCGTATAGACCAAAGTATTACTGGGGTTTTCAAAACTTCTCAGTAGTAGCACGGAGTCTGGAATTGTGCCCGGTATATGGCAATAGGCTTACCCCCCATTACATGGGACTCACAACACAACTTATATAGTGCCTGCCTACTTCAGGGATAAAAGGCGTGATATTTTGTTGTTTGTCAGAATGTTGTTTCTCTCATTTTACTTTGTATCGTATTTAAAAGGACTACGAGAAGATACATACAATGTTTTTAGGCGCGCGTGCGATTAAAGCTCAAACCTTCTCCGTTTAAGAAGAGGCTTTGTTTAGCAGTGGGTATTTATAGACTGTTGATGATGATTCGGAGTCGCGGAGAACCTAACGGGTTACCGGGGCTCCAGCTCGACGTGCAGAAGGAAAGGGGTGGTTATTAGTCAGTAAGAGTGACACTCCCTACCGCCTCACCCAGGCGGTAGCAGCCATTCGATAATTTTCCCCCTTAAAAAAAGACTATTTATGATGACTAACTTTGTAGTCCCTAGTCGATTTTAATCGACACTAGCGCCACCACCAAACCTTCAAAATTCTTATTACCTCTCTTTCTTTATAGATATGATGCCTTAGTAGCTGAATTCTGGAAAGTAGCGTCAACAGAAAAAGATCACGATAGTACTGAACTAAGATCAAGTTCAGTCGGGTTCTCCATGTCCTTGGAACGGATGGCGGCCATCTTGAAAAAGTTGGACGCTGAGACACCGGTGCAGCAGCCTAATGTTGAGGTACGTATTGACAGTACTTTTTAATTTTGTGTTTTATTGTAAGGATATTAGGTACAATATGTTTTAAGACGGCATTCTCAGTAGATATCACATTCAATGAATAGCAATCATATGGCATCGACTTCTAACCTATCAGTGGGTGGGTAACCTATCAGTGGGTGGGTAACCTATCAGTGGGTGGGTAACCTATCAGTACTAATGATAGTTATTTTTGCTTTCTAGTTTTGACTTTTTGTTTGTTATTAGTCTTATTACTTTTTGGTTTAATGAGGTCAGTTTTTTAAACGCAGTTTTTATGTATCGTGAAATGTTTGGTAATTTTTTTTAAAGAGCAGCTTCAAGTGCATCATTGTTTAAAGGCTGTGACAATATACTAGAAAAGGGTCCCAAGTCATATTTTTATGTTAGAATGTTGCATCAGCGAGTCTGTCGTCACCTTAAATTTAACACACTCTGCTTATAAATTCACAAAGAAATTAACTGAGGCAGAATGGGCATTAACATTTTATCACTTTAAAAAAGGTCTTTCTTGAACAAAAATGATTACATTTTTAAGTAGAACTAAATATTTGTGCATGTTTACTTATTAGTTTACTTAATTATCATCATAATCTTGATTCCCATTTCAAATAATCACCATTCTTATATCCCCAGATGGGTCTAATCTGCGTATGTGTATGGGGTACGGCGGGCAATGGGCGCGACGGCCAGGCCGCGTCCCGCCGCGCCAGCCTCGCGCGGGACCTCTGGACACACCGACACCGCGCCGCGCTGTGGCCGGCCTCTAGTGCTGATGCACATGATCTAGCTCGCCCCGGCCTACTTATACTACATGATGACGCCGATGTTAGACTGGCTTGTTGGGATGGAATGAGGTAAGTCACTTTATACTTATTATCTTTGTGATATGGTGTGTACTAGGCTTATTTCACTTTGGTTACCTGGGTGATATCACCTAGATGAACAAAGTAGACTTTTTGGTGGCTTCGATTCACCTGGGAATTATTTCACCTAGGTGATATCACCTAGGTGAACTCAGTTGACGCAAGTTGCCCTTTGTTCACCTGTCTTTAATCCTACATCAAATATATCTACATAACATAACATCACGCCTTTTTATCCCTGAAGAGGTAGGCAGAGGACATTACGTCACTTAATGCCATTGTCCAATGTAACACGGGTTTCTTAGTCTCTGCCTACCACCCCCATGGGAGACAGGCGTGAAGTTATGTATGTATCTATGTATGAACCTCAAAAGGGTTCAGTAAAATTTATAGAGAGAAAAGACTTATTTTTATAAAAATAAAATACGTTATGTCTTAGAAATAAAAGCCAGTACTAAACAATTTTATCCTTATCTCCAGGTTAAGAGAACACAAAGTGCCATACATAGATGTCTTAGATTTTATCAAACAGAAGCTCTATCCAGATGCTGTCAGAAATTCTGAACGTAAGTTTTTATTTATTCCCTTTTTTTACTAGATTATTTCGAGACCTTGCTTCTCCTCTATTATTATTTATTTATTAATTTATTCATGTACACCACTTAGACAATACACAGAAGATAAAAATATATATATAACAAAACAGAGGTACATAGGTACTGCATATCCCTTACTAGCGACCCCCCCGGCTTCGCACGGGTGCAATATGTATATACATACAAACCTTCCTTAAGAATCACTCTATCTATTAAAAAAAACCGCATCAAAATCCGTTGCGTAGTTTTAAAGATCTAAGCATACATACGGACATACAGCGAAAGCGACTTTGTTTTATACTATGTATTGATGGGATTTCTTCCTGCAGCCCTGCGAGAGGAGAAATAAATACATTATATGACACAGTGTGTAACAACAAAAAACAAACAAACAAGAAGAAGACAGTGAAACAGACTAACAAAAATAATACAATAAAAACATACAAAATAAATCTAATCATAGTTTCGGATTTATTTCGTTGCTGGATCCAAGATAGTTGTTATTGCCGTGTGATTTTTTTTTTTTTTATAATTCATGGGGCGACGTTTGACCACTATCTCACCTGTTGGTAAGCGATGATGCGGTCTACGTTGGAGCACGTCGTCCCATAAGCAACCTATTCACTCGGGCCTTGAAGACTCCCAGGTTATACCCTTCAGGAAATACAGACTCTGGCAAAGAATTCCACTCTTTAGCAGTACGCGCAAGGAAGCTTGAAGCAAAGCGCTTCGTGCGTGTGGGTGGAACATCTACCATGAATCGGTGACGCTTCGCGGATTGTCTTGTGGTACGATGATGGAAAGGACTAGGGGGAATCAAGTTGTGCAATTCGCCGCCGATGCGCCGGACTTCATTGTAGCGGTTTTTGATTTTTCACATATGTGATGGCTGGCTTGCCCCACAAAATACATATTGATTAGTTCTTATTAAATAATACTATTAAAATATATAAAATATCTAGACTTAGCTCACGAGGTTGTTGACATGTGGAATGTGGATTCGGCTATCATTGTGCCGATAGTCGTGTCGGCCAATGGGTTAATCCCTAAAAGCCTCGACATCCATCTCAGGAGGCTGGCGTTAGGTGGATGGATCAAGGGCCTGATACAGAAGGCAGTTCTCCTAGAAACCGCACGTATCGTGAGGAGGTTTCTGTCTCTGGATCTACCACCGGTAGCTTGGACCATGATTCCGCTGATCGGCTCCTATTTTTTTTAATATTTTTAAATATTAATTTTTAGTTTTTTATAAGTAGTATTTAAAAATGTAATTTATAGACAATTTTAAATAAATATATGGAAATACTATTACACAGCTGGAACGGGTACAAACCGCGCGTTAAGCTGGTCGGAATGTGAGAAGTCAAACTGTGGTTTCACAACTTCGGTCAGCTTCTGCATCGCTTCCAAAGACAGGATGAACAAGAACTCCAAGAGGCATTGTGAGAACCAGGTGAGTTGTACAATATCTACATAAATATGTACTAACATATTGTCTTTTATCACGACAAAATAGATGAACAGATTGGAGAGATTTTTGATTATACCTTGCATTATCGTTGGGAACTACGTACATTACAACTTTGGCGTTTTTTTATTCAAAAATAATGTTAGAAAGTATTTAGAAAAACATTAAATGTTTTTAATAGAATACTTGGGGCGTGTTCTACAATCATCGAAGCCAAAAATATAGTTTTTGGAATTTTTGTCTGTTTGTCTGTATGTATGTCCGGGCTAATCTTAAAAAGAACTGCATGGATTAGCTTCAAATTTTGTATGAATATTACTCAGACTGGGTCAACATATATATCACTTACAAGACCAAGCTGAAGCTGAAGAATCTATTCCACGTAAAGCTAGTATGGACTAGCTCAAGTTAATATCATGGGATTTTAATAAAATATCTTAACCCACTAACAAAAACGTCAGAGGCGTTCAAAAGCAATTCAATAACCTTTTTTAATATTTGTCCACAGATAAACACCCAAATAACATCAACGCTGGTGTCGCTGGGCCTGCAGGCCGGCGTGAGTCGCGTGCGCGTGCACGTGGTGGCGGTGGCCGTGGAGGCGGCCGCCGTCCGCGCGCTGGCCGCCGCGCTGGCCGCGCCGCTCGACGCCGGGGAACTGCATCACGCCTTCATGCCTGTTATTGATGCGTGAGTATACTTGAAAATTCATTATTGTTGTGATTAGTTCACTAATTGCAAACCACAGATGATTTTTCTTCTTAACACAACACATACCATAACATCACGCCTTTTATCCCCGAAGGGGTAGGCAGAGGTGCACACAGAAGTAACACCCACTTTTCACTATTTATGTTATGAGTTCCATGTAATAGGGGGTGAGCCTATTGCCATATACTGGGCACATTTCCAAACTCCGTGCTACTACTGAGATTTTTTTTAAAACCCAATAATATTTTGCCCGACCCGGGAATCGAACCCGAGACCCCTCGCCCGGCAGTCGCACTTGCGACCACTCGGCCATAGAGGCAGCAGTATTTTTCTTCTTTTCCTCTTATAATATCTTCTGATTCACTTCGTTGCGGGAACCAAGACAGTTACTCATGTCCCTGGGACGCGCCGGACTTCAATGTTCCGGTGTTTTCATGGTTGTATCTACTGTAGATCCTGGCCTACAGGAGTTGCAGCGGTTTTCGGAGGTTGTGGCGGGCTTGTCCCTTAAAACCACAGATGACATTATGTCGAAATAATGAACTCGAAATGGAATTCATGTCATAACAAAGGAAACAAATGGTTTAAAGGTGCTCCACCTTTATCTGGATATAAAAACATAATGTTATGGTCACAATTGGAGGATATCATAAAATATATACATACATACATAACATCACGCCTTTTATCCCCGAAGGGGTAGGCAGAGGTGCCCATTACGGCACTTAATGCCACTGTATAATGTAACACCCACTTTTCACTATTTATGTTATGTACACCCTTAGGGTAGAGAATGCTGCTGCATTTTGTTTCTTATTATCACAACGAGAGACGGCTTGGCTTGGCCGCACCTCAATTTAGATTCTCCGTTTAAGCAATTATAGCTAGAAATCGGAAACAGTAACCTGTACATAATAGTCGGTTTATCGCTTATTAAATGGAATTCATGTCATAACAAAGGAAGAAATTGGTTTAAAGGCGCTCCACCTTTATCTGGATATAAAAACATAATGTTATGGTCACAATTAGAGGATATCATAAAATACATACATACATAACATAACATCACGCCACAAAATTAAATATGAAAATTTCGTTTTATTGAGCCCTACCATAACATTAGATACATTATGCCCTTTAGTCACCTAAACTAGAAAAGTTAATAATAACCAGGGTTCAAGAACCAGGTGGTGATAAGATAATACTTGTTTATTTGCATTGCGAAGGGTTTAAGGTCACTGAATGCATTGATAGCGTCTGTAACTATTGATATGGTCCCTTTGCAATTAATATATCTGTAGTACATTAACTTATTGATGTACGTATAATTATGACTACTCAATACACTTGAAAAAAACGAACTGATTAGTAAATTGTTTTATGAAATGAAGGGTATGGCAATAGGCTCACCCCCTATTAGATGGGACTCATAACATAAATAGTGAAAAATGGGTGTTACGTTGTACAGTGGTATAATGTGCACCTCTGCCTACGCCTTCGGGGATAAAAGGCGCGATTTTATGTTATATTTTAATAAAGAGCTTTGAGTGATAAAATCAAAAGGCCCATTCATGTCAAAACATGACCCTCCCATGACCACCAAATCTACTATATAAAAATAAGTCGGTTTTTCCTTCCTGACGCTATAACTCCAGAACGCACGAACCGATTTTCACGGCTGCATTCGTTGGAAAGGTCTCGGGCTCCGTGAGGTTTATAGCAAAAAAAATCACTTTTAATCACTAAAAGAAATGTTACATAAAACGAAGCCATCTGGTGGCGTAACGGAGTTCGCCGGGTTTGCTAGTTCCATATAATAATCAATTTTTTATTTACATATATATAATTTTTTTATACATATGTACGTACATTTATCACCCTCGTTTTTATTTTTTTTAAAACCTACTGTAACACTTCTCTGCATCACCCTATGGTTGGCTGGTAGAGAATGCCATTCGGCATTAAGTCCGCCATTGTATACAGTTGTACATAAAGTGTTAAATAAATAAATAAATAATTTTTTTTTTTCAGGTACCCAAAACGCCGAGATGTTCTAGACGATGCCCTCCATGAGTTAACATCACTAGTTAAACAAAACAGCCAGTGTAGGGCCACGGATGAGACACAACTCTACGCTCTATACTCTATTCCCGATTCTCTATGCCGACTGATCACATGACCTTACTTTTGAAGTATTCGTTTTTACAAGTCTTCGCATTGACTTTTTTATTTGTATTTTATTATAGTTAAGTAATTAATGTGTAGTTCTTTGTGTGTGCTTCGAAACTGAAGTTATTTTTTGTGTGTATAGGTTTTTATCGGAGTGATATACTTAAGTAACTTTAAGTACTTATTTATCTCAGGCCTTTAAACTTAAAATGTATATAAGAATAGTATAGTTCCTATTGCAGTTATAAGTTAATAATTTATTATTTCATTGTAGCAGAAATTAATTATTAACTTATAACTACAATAGCAACTATTTTGTATTTTTTTTACTGAATCAAAAAAAAAATATGTATCTTAGTTACTTTGTACCTCGTTTTTTTTTTCAATAACATAAGCGCAATTAGTAGTTCTACCCGCTGATAATAGATGGCGTTACTGTGTTAGGAATATAGATGGCTTAGTACGAATTTGGTTTCGTTTAACGAGATCTAAACATTATTGCGTTCAGCTCTCTGATTGGCCTGCTCCTATAAACGAACCAATCAGAACGCTGAACATCAAAAACGTATCCATCACATTATACGTAGAAAAACTAAGGTAATATAATCAAATATTGAAAGAAAATATTAAACGGGTGCGTTTGATCTGAATTATAATACATAATTTTATGAATTAAAACAAATACCTAAACACGATATAGAATAAGCAAATGCATTTAAATAAATCTTGACATTTATGAAACTACGTACATTTATTATTTTTTAAATTCTTCATTTAATAGTTTAGAATGTACACCAGTGGTGGGTAAAGGGCCTCGTGGTCTAAGAATTAAATTCAACACATAAAGGACTTAATCCTGTCTCCTAATATATGAACAATATACAGGGTGGAATTTTGTAATGCCTAGGATTTTCGATATGATCTGTCCGTGTATTAATCTGTGAAGAATACCATAGGTCCAATTACCCCCTCCCCCCAATCCTTGAATCCCCAACAATCCTCATCTTCCTAATCCCAAAAGGCCGGTAACGCACTTGCAACACCTCTGGAGTTCCTTGTGTCATTGGGCGACGCCGGTTGCTTACCATCAGGTGATCCGTCTGCTCGTTTACCTACCTTTGAACTTAAACCGTTTACTAAAATCACCTTTAAAGAAAATAATAAGAATTATTTTTCCCCCATCAAATTTCCTTATACATTTTTAGTCCTTTGCCCATCACTGCCTCATGCAGTAACTGACGTAAAATAAACTATAAATACTGCCCACCCATTTTAGAAATAAGAGTCGTGATGTTATGTTATATTACAAACTATGTACATATGTATACTTTGGTATAGATGCCAGCCCATTAAGGTAACTGTCATAGTCGCGTAGAACCTAACGGGTAACCGGGGCTCCGGCTCGACGTGCAGGAGAAGGAACGGGGTGGTTTTTAGTCAGTAAGAGTCTGACACTCTCTCCCGTCTCACCCAGGATTCATTCGATGATACTGTCATGGGGTCTTGTTGGATAACTTATGGTGAATCGACCCCCTAATCTGCTAACTGTAAAGAAACACACATAGATACATAACCTCACGCCTGTCTCCCATTGGGGTAGGCAGAGACTATGGAACGCCAATTGCTACGATTCTTACATACCTCATGAGTGAGCAATAGGTTCACCCCTTATTACATGGGACACAACATAAATAGTAAAAAGTGGGTACATTATACAGTGGCATTAAATGTCGTAATGTGCACCTCTGCCTATCCCTTCGGGAATACAAGGCGTGATGTTATGTTAAGTCAAAACGAAATCTAATTTCGAAGCATTATCTTATATTAACAAGTTGTTAATACAACTACAGTTAGGGGGTTGATTAGCCTATACTCATCCAGCCCCTTTTTATAAGAGATTTTCAACCCTATGTTTATTGTAATAAAGTTCGAAATGACGTAGGTATAATGGCTAGCACGTTAATGTACTCCTTTCTGTGAAATTAAATTATTCGATTTTCAATTTTATTGCAATTGATGATATAAAGTCGAAAATCGATCGACTGACAAATCGTTAATAAAATTTCAATAATTTTGGTTTCTTTTTTCGGCTGGTGTGTATACATTGACCCGATATGTTATATAACTTTAATTATTTGTATGTGATTTAATATAAGTATTAAATATTTTGTATATTAACAGATTTATTTCATAAGCAAGTAATATTACAAGTCTAAAATACAAAGACTTCGTTTATACAAACACAGTTTGTAAATGACAATGACCAAATTTGTATGGAGCTTGGTGCCTTTTCCTTTTGTCGCGGCAGTTGATCGGATGTAAAAAATCTGATGCAGAATAACATTACAAACAAAAAAATATATGGGGTCTTATATAAAAAACACAGTCCAAACATGTGAAAATAGTGCTATATTATTCCTGTTATTTTGTTGCTGGTCACCGTACACAACGCATATTTCTTCATTTACTTGTCAGAAATATTTTGTAATAATTATTTATAAACGATTTCAAGGAATATAATAAAGCTTGTTGTGGATTGTTTTACTTATTTTTTTTTCTTATAAGGCCACCGAATCAGAACAGAGTAAATCAATAACTGGCCACTGCTGAAGTAAAAAAATATTTCTCTTGATTGGCTAGCGTGTTCACGTTATATGTATACGGTTTATGGCCTATGACAGATTTTCATGATCAATTTCCTCTCAGTCGAAAACCCGCAAAATACTTTTCTGAGCCCTATTATGAAATGCTATGTTTGTCAGCTGCGGCGTCAAAACACGAAAAAAAAAACATTTTTCTGTCTAATTCTAATTTCTGTCTAATAAATAAATAAATAAATAAATAAATATATGAAAAAATTATGCGCTCATCTGACGTATAGTCCATCACTTTATAAAGTCGACGGTTTCCTTTCTTCAAAAGATTCTGCTAACTATAAAGTAGACGAGTCTCCCACCAGGAGTCAACGGCAAAAAAATAATACTTAATTAGATGTTTGGACGGCTACCACTACTCAACCCACCACTGGTACCACAGCTGACGCTCATGAAGCTTCATGACACAACTCCTAGAAGCATCATACAAGTTATCGACTGAGAGAAAATAGGTAATAAAAATTAGTACCTGACAATATGGATATATTGTGGTGTGATATAGTGTCCCTGTGCGCAGCGTACAGTGGCCCGCAATTTGAAGTTAGGAATTGTGACAAAAATATGAATAATTTGAATAAAAAAACCAAAATAAATGTTTGACTCCAGCTCCAGACTGAGTTATGAGCGTAGAGGTCATAACTCAGTCCAGACTGAGATTTCCATATATCAGCCCATAGACAATATCATTAGTAATGTGATTCTAGATAATATTTTCCATAAATCATCGACTGCCGCCAGAAAAACGAAAGGCACCAATTTTAGTCAATGCCCTTTAAATATAAATGTTATTAAATGAAATATAATACGTTATGTTTTTTTTAATAAAAATATCGAGGGGTAACGGGCTATTTGGTTTAAGCGACATTTTGGGCGATATTGAGTTATATATATATTCGGAATCAGCGAATTTTTCTCCGTCGAATGATGCCGGTTTCATTGAAATCGGAGCACTTTTTTGGCGTTTCAAACAATTCTATTTTCATGTTGTTTCCAAAGTGGCAGTGTATTAAACGACATGGATTTCGCATTTTTTATTAAATTATGTACTTGAACCATACCATCATATTAATAACCGAGACATAAACCAGTCACCCTATCTCTAATTATTAAGTCAACATGAGTTAAAGCGTTTTTCTTGTTTCTAATTTTTATTAACAAGTAACTTGAATCATTTTGACTTCCCACTAATCACACGGTGTGATGTCGCTTAAAACATTTGTCCGTCATCCAAATGCGTCATGATACGTCTCTTAAACATTTCTAGCTGCCTCTATTTTCCACGCAGGGTGCTACTTAAACCAAATAGTTGTTTTCGTTCAGATATTTTGTTTAGTCATAAACCATTTAACCCTCATTTTTTTTTAAATGCATGTCGTTTTATACAGACAATAACATTGATAATGAATATTAAAACATTTTTCCAGTATTCATAGAAATACGAGTCGGTCTTTCAATCACTAAGTTTTACTTTGGTACATTTCAATCATGTCATATGATACCATATTTATTTCATCGCCCTGGTGTTAAAAATCGTTATCATCCAACTGGACTATCGTGCGCTGGCGCTTCAGTCACTCCAGAGTGTGCCGAAAACAGACGGGACGCGCGCACACCGCCAGTGTTTACGTTAAACGCTCATAGAAATTGAATCCTAAGCACTTTAATTTCAAGATGAGCCTCGCGGTCGTTCGAAGACTTTGGCGACAATGACAATTTAAAGGCTATTGTGGAGGCTGATGACATACAATCTACGGCTGATTTAGCAGCAGCTTTCGACGTTAGCGTCAAAAAAATATTGGTCAATTTGCGTCAAATTGGCAAGGTAAAAAAGCTTGACAAGTGGGTGTCCCACAAACTAAATGATCAACAGAGCTAAGTATGCAGCGAGCAGTGCGAGGGGGACTGGGATGCCGTCTCCTCCTTTTGCGAAGCAGTTATGCTAGCTAAGGAGGAGGCGGGACGCGTGAGGCAGCGAAGCGCTGCCTCCTCGCAACCCAGCCATCACGAAGGACACACCGGGCGTCGGGGATCGCGGGACGATCTCCGGCCACCGTAAGCGCGGGCCTGCGGACGGCGAGCATGGGTGGCTCCGCGTCTGACCAGAAACAGACCCGAGCGTACGGCGCCGAGCGTTCCGCGCGCGCCTCAAAGAGCCATCAGGCCACCACAGATGGGGCCCAACAGGGCCGATGCCGATTCGGAGTCGCGGAGAACTTAATGGGTAACCGGGGCTCCGGCTCGACATGCAGGAGAAGAAACGGGATGATTTTTAGTCAGTAAGAGTCTGACACTCTTTCCTGCCTCAACTAGGCGAGAGAAGTCATTCGATGATTTTCCACCCTTAAAAAAAATGCAT